TAATAATTTTAGAAGGTATGCAAATAGATTGTGGCTAAAATTGCACCTTTCAAATTCTTAATAGTTGGGAAATGAGTTAAATTATCTCTCCTGCATAGAAGCCTGGGGACAAGTAATAGACCATCATACCTCCTTTGTTGACAATCATTATCAAAAATGCATCTCATTTCAGCTTTAATTCAAATTAATTTCCAATACTGTAAGGAAGAACATCAATATTTATTTGAAATGCACTAGGAGAGAGGGAATAAGAAGGAGTCAGAGCCAAAGATAAAGAGCGTAAATCTAAAATATTACATGTGCTTGCTTTTTATGCACTGTCTTTCAGAACTGCTGTCATTACTTCCCAGAATTGAAAAACAAAACCACACCAGATTGCATAAATACTAGGGGTCTTACCAAGATAAGAATAATTTAATATTTTTTTTTTCTACATTTTCCTTTTACTGCTTCCAAAGCTCTTGTCAGAGAAAGAGTCAAACCTTTCGTATTTCCTAAGTGCGATAGTTAAGCAGCTACTCTATGCTTTGGAACTGTTAATACACAGTCAGTACTAAGTGGTATAATTATTTGTACATAATTTTAAAGTAGCTTTTACTAAACATATTAAAATTACACAATTTAACTCTAGTTTTTTTCTTTCTAAAAACCAAGAAAAATAGAATGACCAAATTTAAGATTACTGTGAACTGCGTACACTTTGACAGGAAGCAGGACATTTTGATTCATAAGTAGTTGAAGTTGCTTTTTTCCTAAATTTGGAGTCTTATCTTCCCTGCTAATCTTTTTAAACTTCTCAGTCTACTAAATGTACCACCAAAGCAATAGTGACCATGTTTGTTCTCAGACTTTCCTAAGAGCTTTTAAGCCATAAAATTCAGTGTTGATATATGGCCAAGGATCCTTAGAGTATTGTTATTCTCTAGCAATAACAGAAATACATAAACAATGTCTGAAATACAAAGCCCTTTGATACTGAGCATGGGGAAAGAATGATTTGGTTTAAATTCTGGAATCATTAAAAAAACACACACCCTACTTTTTTCTTTCTGGAGTACACCTAGAACAGACCTGGTTTTATACCTGTTTTTTACTTCACATGGGGCCAAAAACTGTAAGACCAAACATATTCAATATTTTTTGTTAAGGTCTCACATGAACAAGCTGCAAAATTTTTCAAGCCCCAGAGTGTACCTCTTTTTATTTTAAATCTAACAGCTCTTGGTCTACTTAAAAAAAACCAAAAACCAGAAACAATTTCTTTGGTACATTAATGATGCTGTAATGATTGAGCTAAAAATATAACTCACTTGGTAGATTATGAAGATTTTTAGTTGTTTTTCAGTCTTGCAACTATTAAAAAAACTACGTCGTTTAAGAACTTTGGTTAGGGTTCACTTCTTGGGGGTTTGCATATATTTTCTGCAGGTGACAGAAACCAACTAGTATTTATTTTTGTTCCATGTTTTCAGGGATATTAATACTGTTTTTTTTTTATAATACCAAATTTGTCACATGAAATATTGTTGCTTCAGTTAATTTAATTTACTGCAATTTAATTAAATGTCAGTGAGCAGTGATTTGTGAGTTTTCCATGTCACTTGCATACTCTTTACTCCAAGTGTCCTGCAACAGAGTAAGGAAAACTAAGAGACCTGAATAAAGTAGAGTTTAAGCTTTTCTGTTTCCTGTAAGTGATGGCACAGGGGGTAATAAGTGTCTCATTTAACCATTTTAGTGTTTAAAATTAAGTTGCCATATCAACAGGACAGAACAATTTGCAATATTTCTTGAGGAAATGCAACAAAATTCTTTCTTCTATTTCCAGCTACAATATTTCATAGAAGCTTTTGTTATACACTTACATAATTGCCTTTTTGATCTAATAAATGTGCTTTATATCTGTATTTCTCCTAATATCCACCATTGTCTTGTTATCATCAAGAGGATAATGTCCTATAATAGCAAGGCAATCACAGTGGTTTATTGTTATCCTTCATAAGCTTGTCACATTTTATTTTCTCTTAAGCCTCCAAAGAAGAAGACGTTCAAATTTTTAGCTTCTGTTTTTGTCTGAAACTTGTAGACAAATTGCAGTTTTTATTATGTCATGAAAATATACTAAAAATAGAGAAAAATATCAAATTAACTATTACACTGACCAGGTTGTTCAAACAGTGGATTACTTTCAAATGGAGAGACAAATATGCAAAACAACTCTGAAAATAAATATAGAAATTTAAAAGAAAATTAAAATCTATGTCTTGATAAAGCATCACAACTCCATATTCATTTTAGGGTTCACTTTTTTCCTAAAGAATTAATGAATATGCATCTAAAAACCGTAAAAATATTTAAACTAAAATTTAAAGTAAAGGTGGAAATTTTAAAATTAAACTACATTTTTTTTTGTTTTCTGTATCATTGTAGAAGCTTTATGCTTACCCATAGTATATTTTTAATTTTTAAAGAAAACAAAGAAGGGCTAAAGCTCAATCTTTCACTTGTCCTTTAGGCTGTATTCTTATATTTCAAGTATAAATAGATATCTCAGAAACCTGGAGGTAAAAGATAAATTAAGTTACAGATCTTGGTTCTATTATCTTCTAAATATGCCCTTGCTTTAAATCAAATTGTACCCCACCCCCATATGGGCAAACAGATTATAGCAAAGGCTTTAATTATGCATATTCTACTGATGACTTAACTAATTTTAAAGTTATTTTTAGGAAGGGCAAAAAGAGTAAGTTTTAAATCCCATAATATTCTGTGTACCATATGTATCTTTTGTAATGTTACACAGATTGCTAAATCCCAAGTCCTGGGCTTTTCCCTTCGTAGGCTCAACCAGCTGCTGCATTAGCTGTTCCTGTGTCTTTTTTTTTTTCTGTATTGAGAGAACTTAAGCCCTTATGCAACCTAATACTTTCTGTCATTGGAATAATTTTCTGCTGCTAGCCAAATGCACATTCTGCTTCATGGTAGGGCTGTTCTACTTCTTGTGTTGGAGGAAAGGAAATACTGATAATACATTTTTTTCAGAATGGCAGAATGTTTGTCAATCACCTTGCACTTTCTTTGATAGTGATATCATCTTAATGTTCTAAAGAATGTTTTATGTAAAAATTGAAAACCAGGGCCTTATTTACACTGACCTATTTACACACCTATTTACAATAGGTTTTGCTGTTCCTTGAATTTTTCATGGTATATGCGAGGAGATTGTCAGATCTGCCAAGGCACCTTGCTGTGCTCAGAAAGTGCAACGAATATTGGTAAAGTCTTAAATATAGGTATACAACTGGCCTGAGGAGATATTTGAGGCTACTGTAAGTTTCTTTTGCTTGAAACTATATAATTTCTTTTATAGTTTAGGAGATAGCAATGAGTTTTTGCATCATTAATGAAAGATGATACTGTAGGCTCCTGCTTTGAAAATTTAGGTTTGGATTCTGTCTTCTGGTGCTGGTTCAGTTGCTTTCTGGAGACATACCCACTCTACGAGGTACTATGCTAAACTATAGTAAAATGAAGATGAAATTAGGGGGGTTTTCACTGTAATATATGGTAACAGTTAGACTGAAAGTGTTTCCCTCTCAAAAAGGAATGGGTAGAGATTGTTTCTCTTCTTTCAAAGAACTGAAATGAACTTACCTCTATACTGCCTTATGATGATTTGTTAAAGATATGTTTGCTTGAAGAATGCAGCAATATTTTGTAAATATAACAGCTCATATAAATATTTTTTCTTCTCTATAGCAAGAAATTGCTGCAACTTCTGTGAGTGTTTTCACTTCTGTTAGGAAACTCAGGAAATTACAATTATATTAGTTTATTGCATCTGCTGTTTGTTTTGTTTGTTCATTTTCTGTTTTCCTTTGCAGGTGTCATCATAGATGTTGTAATGAATTTAACCACACTCTTGCAATGTTCTCCATTGCTGGCTAATTGTAGACATCATCCTTTCACTCTGTCCCAGTATAATTTTGTTCATTACAAACTCTACTGCTTCTAAGCATGTTTTTTTCAACTCCATCTCTGTTTTTCCGTTCAGTTCTTCATAGTCTCCTATACATTACATAGTAATATTTCAACTAGATTTTTTCTCATAATTCACAGGGATTAGATTTCTAATGTTCAGTTGCTGGTATTGCACATCTCTTTAAAAGTTTTTGCAGTAAAAGCTAGCAAAGCACATTATTTACTCATTCTGGCCAATGTCATTATCTGTTCCTACTCCTGTATATACTTGGCCATCCTTAAATAAAGGCTGTCAAGTGTCTGGATCTATTCCAGTATGTCTTGCTTACAGTTAGGATGCAAAGACACCATTCATTTGAATTCCTAGATGGCTGTTGGATTCAGACTTGACATTTGCGATGAAACTGGAACTTTCCCTGTGTCCATGGCAATAAAGTTACATCCATTAAGATGGTCTGTGTTTACTACCCTTCTTAGCTTTGTCTTGGCAGAAGTAGACAGTTAGTTTGATTATAAAGTAAATATTCACTTGAAAGATTATGACAGGTCTGAAAACCACCATGCCCTAGAGCCGTGTTCCAGACTCATTTCTTTCGCTGCTTTTCTCTCTATTTTGCTTTGCAATTGTGGTGCGAAAATGGCTGAACAGACAACACTTCTGAGGATGGGACTTTTGCAAGTTCTTTAGGAAATCTTGCTGGAGGCTGTGCACAATGTTGCACACACTGTAGTATAGTTGGAAACATGAGCAAGGCACCTGGCTTTTGAAGGTACATTTTTGAAAGCACTGAAACCACTGGCTATGATTTTCCATTTTAATGAAGCCTTATATAGCCAGGTTGCATGCCGTTTTTTTGAGGAGGTTGATAAATACATACCCTTGCTACGTAGCATAGGCAAATTAACATAGTCACCAATTCAATCTGTGCCTGTCTCAAAGTTGTAGAATGAAACCAGATCCTCACCCTAGTTTGTGCTAGTGTGATTTTTTGTAAGTCATTTTCCACTTGCCTTTTCAGACTATGGTACTATTAAGAAGGTACTTGCCCCAATGAACCAGACATCAAGCAGCTGTCTGCTCGAGGAAATTGAACTCCTGCCGAAAAGTCAGCGAGAGCCCATCAGGAGCCTTCAGATCTTGCACAGCCAGAGTGTTCTTTTTGTGGGCCTTCAGGAACATGTGATTAAGGTCCCCCTGAAGAGATGTCTCTTTTATAAAACATACAGGTATGAAGAATCTGCTATTTGTATTTGATCAGAGAAACGAACATGCAAGGGGTTGCAGGAAAATGGGAAAGAAAAATGACTGCAAGTAGGAATCCAAATTAATTGTCCTTGTCAGCAATTACTTACTCTGTACACTGTTTATCAGAAGTGACTTCCTGTGCTAGCTTGTTAGGACTAGATGAGACTCTCAAGGAATTATATTGATATTTAAGTGTCATTATGCAGATTATGAATTGTGAAGTGAAACAGTAAGAAATGTTTTATGCAGAAAACAGGTATCTGGTAAAGTGCAGTATAGCTGCGGCTTTAATATATATAAAGATTGAGACTTGGACAAATTCAAGTTAGGGTTTGGGGTTTTTTTAAAGCTGTATTATAACTGAGAAAACAATATCTCTGTGGATTCAGAAAGAAAACCATGTTGGATGAACTGAGAATTAGGAAGTGACTATTTAAAGGTAAAGTTGGATCAACAAAAAATAAATGCAAATATGCTTCTAGGTAAAAGGACTGTGCAGGTGACAGTTGTTCAATCAAACCAAGAGGATAATTTACAAATTACCACTTGGTTATAGACTGTATTATGATAGTTAAGGACTTCAAACTTCAGCACACAACTGTTTCTATAGGCTATCTGAAAATATCTCTGGGTTGCAAAACATGTTATTAGAGATTGATAATTCCATTTAATTAGTTGGATATTCCTTTTGATATGTGAGGTCCTGGTAATTCAATACAATTTTCTTGTGTTACATCAGGCTGAACCAGTGTGATGAGGTTTTGAAAACTGTTACTGAGGCATGTGGTTATTTTTTTAGATGTTTTTACCTTCACCTTGTTCAACATACGTTCCTTTGAAAAGTTGGGCTATTAAAGGAAGAAGGAAGGCTGCCAGTTGCCTTTCTTGGCTGCTACGCTGAGGATCACAGAGATGTTATTTGTGAAGCAAAGAGATTATACCTCCCATAAAAGGCAGTGAACATTTGCACATAGAGATATTTCTGGCTATCAGAAGGACCACACAGGTGGTCACAGGAGGGAGGTGACCACAGAACACAGGTGCAGAGCTCTGACAGTGTAAGGACATTTCCAAGGGACCTGGCTCACCTTGTGGATTGGTACTATGCAGGAGGCTACTAGTTTGAGAACAAGACTGAAGGAAAAGCTGCGCCCTAGAAAACAAGCAGACCAAGGAAGGGAAGTATTCTACTTTTTAGTTTTTTACAAGCCCCTTTTTTTTTTTTTTATGCTGTCTTATGTAGCATATTTTATATTTTTTTTTCTGCAATAGAAGGACATTCAAAGCCCCACTGAAAATTCTGCAAAGTTACTTTAAGAAAAAGTTTTATAGGGGCAAGTCTCTGCTTCAAGCTTTTCGTTGGTTTAGGTGCCTACATAGAACCAAGTTTCATCTTTACTTGGTTTAGTGAGTTGAAACAGGATGTGTGGTGGTCCTGTATCCTTTTCATTAATTAATGACTTGCATATTGGGAGGGGTATATGTATACATGTGTCTATATCTGAAGAAGGAAAAAAAACTAATGAAATAAATAAAAGCTTCTCACTTTTTTTTAATGTTGTATGATTAAGCCATTCTGCTTGCACGAGACAGTAAATATGTTGCCCTAAGAGGATGTGTTTATTTCAGAAAGGGAGATCAGGCTGTGACTCTTTGTTTCTCTAGGGTCTGTGTACCCATGATAGCCATAAACACAAGAGAGCTCAATAATACAGGTGTCTTGTATTTACACCAAGCCTGCAGTTCACTTTGGACATTTCAAGACTGGAGACGCATTATGTTGGTAGTGATGTATGAACTCCAAAATCCAGAGATGAGACTTCCAGAGCACCTGCTTAGCTGGTGCATGCATGGGGGTCTCACAGGTCCCTGTTACCTGTGCTTCTGTCAGGAAAATTCCAAGGCACATCAGGGTTATTCTGGTTACAGGGCCCAAATATGCTTCTGCCCTCTCAGGGTGGGACTGCTACCTAAAATTATAGACCCCATGTATGGCTACAGGCTAGGAATTCCTCTCCCTCTCTGAGGGGTGGGGTCTAATTGCCTAATTTTAAAAATTTCTCTTAAAACAAAACAAAGTGGTGCCATTCCCATTTTACTGCATAGAACAGTAGTTAAATGACTCAAATCTTGCTCAAATGACAATTTATTTCTCTGCTCAGAGTTATAAGAAATCTCATCATTCACTGGAGTGACTTACTTAAAAGGAGTTAAAATGATTCTTCATGGGTTTTTTCAATCTTATCTTTTGTAGTTGCATGTTTTTTTCTTGTAGTAATTAAATATTCATTGCACCAAAAGGGTTGCCATCCATGCTTTCTTCTTGGTTAAGGAGTTCACCAGCAATTCTAGCTCCGTTTTGTGAGAAAGGAGAGGGTTTACAGGTGTGATTCAGATGAAATAAGAAATCTCCCTGTCATCTATCATTAGGGACTCAGATTATTCAGATAATGCAGATGTAATCTTTCTCTCACCTATAACTTATTTCTGGTTTGACAAGTTTTTTCCTGGCTTATACTAGATTTGTATTTTTTTGCATGTCAGGAAAGTGTGAGCATGTTAGTTGGGGCTATAAATTTCTCTAGGCAGTGAAACATCTGAAACTTGGTCACTGCATTATTGAATACTTTAATACACACATTCCTCTGTTTCCCACTGTACTGCATCAATGGATAAATAGAGTAATGGGTAAACCTTACCTAAGGTAATGCCTTGGGGCATTGTGGGTCTTTTGGGGGGATTATTTTAATTTTATTTATTTACTTTTATCATACTAAGGGCTGTGTATATGTGCCAAGGCTATATTCTGAAATTTCACCAATAATTACTTGAATCTCTTCCCCAGATCAAGGACATGTGGAGTCTTTAATATCTGCTTCACATAATTATTGAGAAATAGAGCATGCTTGTCTATGAATAACAACCTTAAAAAAGCCAAAAGGCCAAAGACGTACTGGCTCACCTGCTGTCTTTTTGTGTCAATGGCAGAGTGCTCAATGCTTAATCTTATCTAATCTCTTTGTTTAGGTTTATTGCTTAGCTTTCAGAAAATGCAACTTCAGTCCCTCTGTTGAGCAGACTGTTCCACAAGCTGATATCTCAATGTCAAGATAATTTTTTTGAGATTTTCTAGTTATTCCTTGTTTCATCTTCCCATACTAGCCTCTAAATCATGTGGTTATTGCTTTTATTTATAGTTTATTATAATTTATTATAATTTAATTTATTATAATTTATTATAAATTTATTATATTTAATTATCACTCTAATATGCTCTGCATGTTGTAAATCTGTTCCTCCAGCACTTTTCTGTGGTGGAGGAGCTCTGCGACATGTTGTTGTCTCTGACAGACATTCCCTCTGATTCAGAACATTTCTGTTTGCATGAGCTCATGACTCCTCTGCTCACACAACCACTGTTAACAAAGGCCCTTGAAAATATTTTTAATATTTTTAATTTTTTTTTTTTTTTTTGGTGGTTTAGGTACAGTTGGCTGCATTTCATTACTGTAACAGCAGACCATACCACAGAAAGAACCTGTTTGGGTTTCTCAGTACTTTTAACTATCCCATGATATTTTCATCATTTATGAGTTTGCCCATTCTAGTTATTTGGATTGACAGTTTTCATGGGGGGCAGGTGGGCAGTATCTCCTGCACACTTCTACCAGTGTCTGAATAGTTTTGAACATCCTGTCATAATCCTGCTGGGGTCATGAGTTAGCTAGGGAAAAGTAATTTGGGAGTGTCAGTACTTAGAATCAGTTCGCCAAAAAATTCTGACATCTTTATGTTCCAGGAGAAAGCAGCAGAGCAGTTACCTAAGTGCAGTTCTCCTTGGGGAAAATCTTTAAGGTTTGACTAGGTTATTATCACCTGGGTATTGCAATTCACACATGTTGATCAAACTTCTATGAAAGTCCATCAACATTATTCTTTGGAGCTATTGTCACTACGAATTCTGCAGCTCTCTGTACCTCTTCAGAGTTGAGTAGGCCAAGCATGAAGAACAACTGACTTTTGTATACCTGCTAATTAACTATAATGTGAGACAAATAGAATGAGTACCATGAGAAGGTAATTATTAAACTGTTTCAGTGTTTTCTATTTACTTTGAAAACTCTATGTATCTGAAATAAGTAATAACATTTGTAGCAGGGAGGTAAAGACTCTCTCCCCTGAAACAACCAATTAGCTTTCTATTGATGGCAGATGTAGCCTTCAAAAGCAACCCTGGATGACAGTGATTCCTCTGAGTCAAATCTGTTGATGTTATACTTTGTACTGGAGTTTTCAGTGCAATAGTTCTGAAACAGATGACAATGAGAGGTTGTATCAGCCCATCCTTCTTTAAAATCTTACCAGGAAAGGGTCAAGAATTGGTATTTCTGATGGCATATGTTTCACACACTTGAAAGGCTTGAAAGCTAATCTTACTATGATGATATGTCTAAGTAAATAAATAGTGACATCTGCTAAAAGCTGTACAAATAGTGACTTCTCTGGTATAAAAGAAAAAAACTTGGATATTTTTGAGTATTGTTTTTTACATTATATGCTTAACGTACTATTTGGTCACAAGGTTGTCTTGCTAAGTAATGTTACCATAGCTATTCTACTGTAACTAACTTTTCATTCTCTGAGCTTCACTATTCCTATTTTGATGTCTTTGTTAGGCATTAGTTAAGCAATCTGTACATACACGAAAGATAATTGTAGCAGAATGGTACTAAGAAGAGTACTCAATTAAGTAACTTAGGAAATGAGAGCTCTAAATTTGGTTATATATTATTTCATTCCTAAAGCTCCATCAAGAATACTATATTAAGTATTTCAACCATTTTTGCTCTCCTTTGTTTTGCCCTAGCTACAGATTTTACATATTCAGAAGTACTCTCACTCTCAGTAGTAGCCTGTTTTCCTGGTAATAAGCATTCTATAACATTTCTTAGTAAAATAATTATTCCTATATATCAATACT